TTTTAACTTTTTGAGTGTAAAACGCAACCTCCTCATACTTGAGCTGGACCTCGCCCTTGAGGTCTCTTTTTAATGCACAAAGTGAGAAATAAAGGCACTTATTTTTTTGTTCTTTCCTCACACTTGAGTTTTGAAAAGACTTTGTGAAGAGGAATGATGAAAACGGGAATAAAATTGTTTTAAAAATCCTTACAGAATTCATAGTGAGTTTGTATGAGCAATCAAGTCAAAAGAGCAGCATAATGTCCAACCTGAATAAACAAACAAACACAGTAAAATGTTAAGGAGGAAGCAAAAACTAATCAGAGCCAGTATCATCCCGTGGGCCATAGCGAGGCCTAAGCCAATCTTTTATCTCATCGATATCCACCTGCTGAGCCTCTATCTGCTCCCGCATTTGCCTGATGATGACCTCCTATGCCAGTCGATAATCCCGGAACTCATCCAGGGTCGTAGTCTGTGTCTCCTGCATCTCCCTGATGACGGCCTCCAGTGCTGATCGGAAGTCTCGAAACTCTATCACATGTGCGTCCCGAAACTCTGAGAATGAGGTCTGAAGACTCCTCATCTCGTCCATCATCGCTCTACAATCGGGTGCACTGGGCATGTCGTATGATGGAGTACCAGATCCCCTATGTGGTGGTGACCGGGAGGAGCTGCTATGCTCAGATGTCTGCTCAATGCCTGGGAGCCCCTGAGTATTCCGCTTCTTGATCCTCATGTTCGAAAAGGATGAGGACCAAAGAACGCGGATGCTATCCGGCACTGGTAGTAAACCAAGAATGTCTAGGTCAGGGTAGAATGACCGAGAAAGAATCGTGACGAAAGGCCCTGCCTGAATAGTACGGCGGACACTCTTCCCTTGGCCCCGGAAGAAGCGAGCCATAAGGACTGCCATGTTCACCGGGCTCTGGTGAATCAAACTCCAAATGAAGAATATGTCCTTTTTGGACAACCTGTTCGTGTTGTTAGGTTGTCCAAAAAAACCACAAGATAACACGAATGTGAGTATATACCAATGTGTCCGCCTCCATTGGGCCGCCAAGGGGTACACACGAAGAAAGGCCCCGGTATCGGTAGAGTGTGTGTGCAAGAACTCATCAATGTCAAATCCCTCCGGTAGATGGGTCGGGAAAGCACAGAACTCGTCCGTCTGTGTATAAGCCGGGGCATAGAGCCCCATCCTCCATCCGAGCTCAGCCATAGTGATGGAGTGCTCGATGCCCAAAATAGTGAACCTCATCCGTGTCTTCGTCCCAATGGCACCTGCTACCTGAATGATCTGGCCATAATGAGTGAAGTGCAATGAGCACAGGAACTCAATCGTGAGTGAGAAACTGGCCCTCTCCTCGATAGATAGAATGCTCCGCTATAATGAATCTCCTAGTAGCGTATCGATGTCGTCCCAGTATCCCCACGTCTCGAGCATCCCCTGATCCAGAATCATGGGGGGTTGAAGACTGTGGAAACGCCCCCATGTCTGGAAGCGTCTGCGGTCAGCATCAGTAGCAAATGGGATATCTGGCATAGGCAGTGGGTCTTGCCTAGCCAGTGGTGGCTCCTAAAAGATGGGATCATCGCTTCTGCCTCTAGAGATCTGCTAAAAATAAAGTAATTTTTTTAAGGTTAGTTTTTTTTTGGATGGGTTGCCTCCCAATGAGCGCTTCTTAAACGTCACTAGCTTGACAAATTTCCTCCTTTGATTCAAAATTTTTGGAGATAGAAAATCTCCTTGCTTTTTTTGACCGGACCACCGTGGTAAAGTTTGAGTTGATGGCCATTGACTTTAAAGGGACCCCCGTTTGCATCTTCGATCTCGATCGTTCCATAGGGGTAAGTTTTCACGACCGTGAACGGTCCGGACCATCTTGATTTGAGTTTGCCCGGAAAAAGTTTTAACCGGGAGTTGAACAGTAGCACTTTATCCCCAGCGTTGAAATCACGGGCCTTGATGTGTTGATCATGGTAGAGTTTGGCCCGTTCTTTGTAAAGTTTGGAGTTATGAAAAGCTTACGCTCTCCACTCGTCCAATTCATTCAGCTGGTAAAATCGTTCTTTCCCTGCAGCGTCAAGTTTAAAACACACATTTTTCATCGCCCAAAGTGCTTTATGTTCGAGTTCAACGGGTAAGTGGCAAGACTTCCCGTATACAAGACGAAAAGGTGTAGTTTCGATCGGGGGTTTTCCACGCAGCCCGAAATGCCCAAAGTGCGTCATCAAGTTTAGTCGACCAGTCTTTCCTCGTCTGGGCAACAATTTTCTCTAAAATGGACTTCAAATCCCTGTTAGCGTTCTCAACCTGCCCTTGAGTTTGGGGGTGGTACGCTACTCCGCTCTGATGCTGGACTCCATATTTGGCCAAAATTATGGCCATTGGATCATTGTGGAAATGAGTCCCTCTGTCACTGATCAAAACCTTAGGTACACCAAATCTAGTAAACAACTTTTTCAGAAAATTTACGACTACTTGAGAGTCGTTGGTGACGCAGGCCTCGGCTTCAATCCACTTAGAAACATAATCAATGGCCACAAGTATGTATTTATTCCCTCTTGAGTTGGGGGAAAGGTCCAACAAAGTTGATGCCTCAAACATCAAATACCTCACAATGTAAGATAAAGTGTTGGGGCATCTCATTGCGCTCAAAAATATTCCCGATTCGCTAACAGTTATCACAAGAGGAAACAAATACATTAGCATCTTTAAAAATCGTGGGCCAGAAGTATCCACAGTCCTGAACCCGTCTGGCGGTTCTATTCCATGAAAAGTGGCCCCCAGTAGGACCGTTGTGACAATGTTTCAGTATGTCTCTTCCCTCAGCTTCAGTAACGCATCTTCTCACCACCTGGTCAGCACAAATTCGGAACCGCATCATCCCAAAAATAGTGCTTTGCTTCTGATAGGAACCGCATCTTCATGTGCCTTGTTAGGTCGGTAGGTTCGACGTTACCAACAAGGCAGTTAGCAATGTCTGCATACCATGGTGTTTGTTCATTGGCGGATATTGCCATCAACCTCTCTGCAGGAAAAAGTTCCTCCACTTCACATTTTCCAAAGGTTTCTTCTAATTTGACATCTAACCTCGAAAGGTGATCAACTGCCTGATTAGCAGACCCCTTCCGGTCCCTGATTTCAATATCAAATTCTAGCAATAAAAGAACCCAGCGTAACAGTCTAGGCTTAGCATCATGCTTTTGGATGAGATATCTAATGGCCGAATGATTGGTATAGATAATAACCTTCGAAAGAATGATGTAAGTCCTAAACTTGTCTAAAGCACGAACAATAGCAAGGAATTATTTTTCAGTGGTGGTGTAGTTTAGTTGTGGCCCTGACAGAGTTTTGCTAGCGTAGTAGATTGGGTGGAACTTGGAAGTTCTTGTCCTTCCTTTGGCCGAGAATGGCCCCCACTACTAAGTCACTAACGTCACACATGAGTTCAAAAGGTAAACTCCAATCTAGGGCCACAAGTATTGGAGCATTGATCAGTTGTATTTTAAGTGTTTGGAAAGCTTGGTGACATTCATCAGAGAATATAAAAATCGCATTGATAAGTCCGTATTTAGACACACATTTGATGCGTGTTGAGATTGGATTTTGATGGTTTTCCTAGCTTTAAGGTGTTACAAGTCTCAATTTTAGCTCAAGTTATGTTTAACAGGCGTTGGGTCGAGTTTTGTTGCATTTGGAGTTGAATTGAAGAAGTTAGAGACCGACATCGGTGCTTAAAGAGGCAATCGGGAAGATTTTGGAAGCATTCGAGGAATATTTGAGATCTTTGGAGGTCACCGGGAGGTTCACGATGAAGATTTGAAGGAAAAAGAGCTCTAGGATTGGCTACGGGATCAAACTAAGATGAATGGAGCTTGAAATCGGCGATCAGAATGACCTTCTGTCAATCGTTCCAGCATATCTCTTTGTAGAAACATTCAATATACACGATTCAAAGTCCATATGAAATACAACTTCAAGGGATACAAATCATATGAAGACACCATTTCGAGAATCTGAGAGGAAGAAGGTAAAAACATACGATGATGTCAAATGATCCTTGTTGCGATTTCAGAATGAGACCTTCCACCATTTTGATCATGTCTCTTGATGAGGTGATTCAAATCCAATTGAGAAAGTTGTGGTGAATAGGGGACTTCATTATCTACAACTTTCATGAAGGAAGAATTTCCAAACTCGGAAGTTAAGTAGACATGATCGTGCCCTCAAAGTTAGGCACGATCGTGTCTGAAGAAGAAATACGAGAAGCTACTGGAACCCAGGCACGGTCGTACCTTGCAGGCAGGCACGCCGTGCCTGAAGAAAAAACGAGGAACGAGCTACTGGAGGCCAGGCACGGTCGTGCCTGGTAGTTAGGCACGCCGTGCCTGGACGCATTTAAACGGAATGCTTCCGTAGGCACGGTCGCAGGCACGGTCGTGCCTGGCGCCGTGCTTGACCCAGTTTGTCCTAATTCAGCCCAAATTACCTTGTTTCCTTTAAATATCACCCCCATAACCCTAATGAGGGAGGATGGAACTTATTTAGCAGCTTAAGGACGAATTTGGAGAGCTTTTCAAGCCTTGTTTTTCGATTCTTTGAAATTCTTTGTAAGTTCCTACTTTTTTATTAATGACAATTAATTCTATTCTTCCCAATTCCGTTGATTCTTCAATTATGAATTGCGAGTAGTTTTAATTAGGGATTTGGGGTTGATGAAGGGGTTTATCATGATGTATGACTAGTTTCTTGATGATTTGATTACATAAATGCTGATAGAGTATATAGACTCGGACCCCCGGGTCTCATGACTATTGGGCCCGGACAGCGGCCCACATACATCTTACGGATATCATTTGTATCATTGTACTGCTTATATGTCATTTGTATGTAACTATGTACTAGATTAGTCTTTTATGTAGTTGGGCTACCGGGCCCATATTAGCGGCCCGGCCCATTATTTCTTCTATATATACTCCCTTAGGGAGTTCTTGTAAACCTAAGTCTAAACTTCACAATACACATCACTACTATTCATCTTCTTCTCCATATTATTAAGCTCCAATCTCTCCATTTTATATATACTTGGATACCTAATAATCCATCAATGGTGCTTTCATTGAGAGATTAGAGCACAATCAAGTGAGATCCTCCCTAAAATTATCCAGAAAACAGTGAAATACTATGGCACAATGGGAAAAACTTGATCTGAGATGCTGGAATTCGGACTGGTAACTAAAAATCTGGGTTTCCACGATACCAGTCGAACGATCGTCTCCTACAGATTCTCAAGAACATATGAGTTAAGATTTTGAAATGAGAGCTATGGATCTGATCTAAATCTCATCCAACTGACTGGAATTCCAGATCTGGGAAAGGCGAGCGAGCAGACATCTCCCGTTCGTTGCTCTACCATTCCAGACATGGCAAATCCGCACGCAAATCTCCGGAAATTGCACCTGATTTCTGCTCACTGCTGGGAGTAAAGTTTACGACCTCCGCCATTAATGGCCGGTAGAAAGGGAAACCGAGCTCATACCTGTCTCCAACGCTTAAGATCGGATGCTTCTGCTACCATTAATGGCACCCGTCCCTCATTGACGCTGCTACCATCCGCTCAAGACTAGCACTGACATTGCGACCGACGCGCGAGCTCCGCCGGAGGGGTCCAATCTTCCTCAATCCTCACCGTTGCCTTCACCCACCTAACTCCGACTCTCTGGTCCGTACCGCTCTCCGGCAGTTGCGACCGATGTTTTCAGGCGCCGACAAGCTTTACTGCTCCACAGCGGATGGCGAGCGTTGACAAGACCAAACAGAGGCGGGGCAGGGGCTGGCATGGCTCTCCATCTCGACTTGCAGATCCATTGCTGGTGGGCCCAGACTGTGAGTTCTTAAATTTCCCACAAGGGTGAAATCGTTGCCCCTGGACGACAAAGGCTCCTGTTCCATGGAAGATGAGGGAGGAGGCAGACCTTCAGCCGCTTCCGACTTGCAGCCTGGAGTTCTGAGGTGGCACTGATTCCCTCCTCAACCTGCAGATCTAAAATCATGGATTGACAATAATGGGCTAGACCATCCTCGGCTATTTCAAAAGCTAAGTACCCCAAATTTTTTCCTACTTATGCATTAAATATGGAATCAAATAATTTTACTACTTTTATGATTATTATTATTATTATTATTATTTCCACCACCATTATGGCGGGTTAAAAACCCCCGAGGTGGTGAAGACCATTATGAGGGATTAAAATTTCCCGAGGTCACTAATGATGCATTATTATTGGCATTATTATTTTTATCATCGCCATTAGAGCGGGTCAAAAAACCCCAAAGTGGTGGACCCGAGCTCTAGTCTACCGACCATCTTTATTTGATGATTTGAATTATATTTGGGTCCCTCGACCTACCCTAGTCACCTTTATTTGGTGACTCGGGCATCTAAAAATGAGAGCCGCTACCGGCCGCACATGGCATTATGCCCGAAAGCGGTAAACGGTACACCTCGTTCTCCGAGACGCTAATCGCGTCGCCCAAAAGCCGTTGCCATGAACAACGCACCTATTGTATTCCGCTTATTTTTTGGAAATGTAAATAGAAGATACCACGTGTCGTATCAGTAGCCTTCGAGCGAAAGGCTCAGGTCTGCTCCACTTTGTATTTTGTATCAGCGAAGGGCTCAGGCCTAGCTGAGAGAGCACATCGTCCTGGCCCCGTAAGCCTAGAGTGAAACGCTCAGGTATGGCCGATGATGTCCCCAGGACGAGGGGCCCGCAAACGGCCCGCGTCTTGAAATGGGAAGTTCACCGCGTCGTCCACGCGCCAGATCGCAGGATGACAGGCCTGAAATCATGGCCGAGGTGGCAGAATCCCCCCACTCAGGGTTGGGCAACGGCAGCCGTTGGAAACCAACCAAAAGTCTAGCCCGCGTCATAAATAGGCGACGGGACCCCCCCTGAGATCACGGACGTTATAAACGAAGTCCGAACCGGCCGAAGGACGAGCACACCCTTCGGCCGAAGCCTGAAAGAAGGATACTCCCCGAAATAGGGAACGGAAACGGAAATAAAAAAAAAGAGAGAGAAAAGGAAAAAGAAAAAATAAAAGAGGGAAGTCGAGGACCGCGCGCACTCGCCGTCCTCGAGCAACAAAAATGAAATCCCCACAACAATACTAAGTACATATCAGGCAAATACTACACATTATGGACGAAGCAAGACCATACATGCGGATTAGACGAGCGCCCAGCGCCGTCCCTGATCTTTCAGACGAGCGGCCAGCGCCGTCCATCATCTCAGACGAGCGCCCAGCGCCGTCCATCATCTCAGACGAGCGCCCATCGCCGTCCCTCATCTTAGACGAGCGCCCGGCGCCGTCCTTCATTCTTAGACAAGCGCCCAGCGCCGTCCCTCATTTTTTAGACGAGCGCCCAGCGTCGTCCCTCATTTTCAGACGAGCGCCCAGCGCCGTCCATCATCTCAGACGAGCGCCCAGCGCCGTCCATCATCTCAGACGAGCGCCCAGCGCCGTCCATCATCTAAGACGAGCGCCCAGCGTCGTCCCTCATCTCAGACGAGCGCTCAGCGCCGTCCATCATCTCAGACGAGCGCCCAACGCCGTCCATCATCTCAGACGAGCGCCCAGTGTCGTCCATCATCTCAGACGAGCGCCCAGCGCCGTCCATCATCTCAGACGAGCGCCCAGCGCTGTCCCTCATCTGAGACGAGCGCCCGGCGCCGTCCTTCATTCTTAGACGAGCGCCCAGCGCCGTCCCTCATTTTTAGACGAGCGCCTAGCGCCGTCCCTCATATTCAGACAGGCGTCCACCGCCTCGTCCCCCTATTCAGATATAGCGAACATCTTGCGGTCTCCGGCCGAAAGGCTAAAGGAGCCTAGAGTTCAGCCATATATCGCTCCGTCATCTGTATTTGATGACGCGAAGCTCATTTGCAAGCCCATCGGCCATATATCGCTCTGTCATCTTTATTTGATGATGAAGAGCTCATTTGTAGGCCCATCGGCCATATATCGCTCTGTCATCTTTATTTAATGACGGAGAGCTCATCTACAGGATCATCGGCCATATGTCGCTCTGTCATCTTTATTTGATGATGAAGAGCTCATTTGTAGGCCCATCGGCCATATATCGCTCTGTCATCTTTATTTAATGACGAAGAGCTCATCTACAGGACCATCAGCCATATATCGTTCTGTCATCTTTATTTGATGACGAGGAACTCATTTGTAGGCCTCTGGGCCACATCTTGCTCCGTCATCTTTATTTGATGACGCGAAGCTCAGTTGCAGGCCCATCGGGCATATATCGCCTCATCATCTTTATTTGATGACGCGAAGCTCATTTACAGGCCCATCGGCCATATCTCGCTCCGTCATCTTTATTTGATGACATGGCGCTCGCATATAGGCCTCTGAGCCATACATCACCCCGTCATCTTTATTTGATGATGTGGGGCTCTCATGTAGGCCTCTCAGCCATACGTCGCCCCGTCATCTTTATTTGATGACGTGGAGCTCTCATATAGGCCTCTCTCGGCCATACATCACCCCGTCATCTTTATTTGATGATGTGGGGCTCTCATGTAGGCCTCTCGGCCATACATCACCCCGTCGTCTTTATTTGACGACGTGGAGCTCTTATGCAGGCCTCTCGGCCGCACCATCGCCCCGTCGTCTTTATTTGACGACGTGGAGCTCTTATGCAGGCCCCTCGGCCGCACCATCGCCCCGTCGTCTTTATTTGACGACGTGGAGCTCTTATGCAGGCCCCTCGGCCGCACCATCGCCCCGTCGTCTTTATTTGACGACGTGGAGCTCTTATGCAGCCCCCTCGGCCGCACCATCACCTCGTCGTCTTTATTTGACGACGTGGAGCTCTTATGCAGGCCCCTTGGCCGCACCATCGCCCCGTCGTCTTTATTTGACGACGTGGAGCTCTTATGCAGGCCCCTCGGCCACACCATCGCCTCGTCGTCTTTATTTGACGACGTGGAGCTCTTATGCAGGCCCCTCGGTCGCACACATCGCCCAATCGTCTTTATTTGACGACGTGGAGCTCTATGCAGGTCCCTCGGCCATACATCGCCTCGTCGTCCTTATGCGACCACGTGGAGCTCTCGTACAGGCCTCTCGGCCCATCGGCCTTACATTCTGGTCATCTTTATTTGATGAACCAGACATCATATTGTGGACGGTCGCTCGACCCATCCCTTAGTCATCTTTATTTGATGACTAGGACTACTGATCATGATGAGCTACCCACATCTAGAGATCGGTCTCGACCATCCAGCAGACGGGCACCACTGTAGCTCCATCTCCAGGCCGAAGGGCTCGCACCTTTTGTTTCATTTTGGGGGCATCCGGTGTACTCTTTTTCCCTCATTAGGATTTTTTCCCACAGGGTTTTTCCTAATGAGGTTTTTAACGAGGCATCTCCCCATCGTGGATCAAAAGGTGTCAACCCTCGGCCCCCTGTTGAAGACATCATCCGACACGCATTACTCTACTCCTCTTCACCTCATTGCACTCGCCTCAAGGAGTGGGGGACTGGAAGAGCGGGGGACTTAGCGCCTCCGTTAACCAAAGAAGCAGAAATTCAAATTTTTGTTAATGAAGTTTACTCACCAGACGGCGACAGATCGGCACACGGTTCTACTCTCTTTCGCCTCGAATACTCTCGACTCAGAGAGTGGGGGACTCCTGATAGAGTATATAGACTCGGACCCCCGGGTCTCATGACTATTGGGCCCGGACAGCGGCCCACACACATCTTACGGATATCATTTGTATCATTGTACTGCTTATATGTCATTTGTATGTAACTATGTACTAGATTAGTCTTTTATGTAGTTGGGCTACCGAGCCCATATTAGCGGCCCGGCCCATTATTTCTTCTATATATACTCCCTTAGGGAGTTCTTGTAAACCTAAGTCTCAACTTCACAATACACATCACTACTATTCATCTTCTTCTCCATATTATTAAGCTCCAATCTCTCCATTTTATATATACTTGGATACCTAGTAATCCATCAAATGCCATTTAATTTGTGTTTGAATAATTTAACTATTATCTTTTGTAATCTGGAATCGTGGCTAGAATTACAATTGCACATAGAATAAATTAAGAGAGATCTAGTTTATTCTAGGACACATTCACACACACTTAATCGTTCGCTAAGAGATTAGTAGCGATTAAGGGGCCGTAAGCTCGTTCGTCTTGGCAATAATTTAGGATCCTGTCGCATGAGAGATCAGCCTGGTCCCCTAAATTATTGTACTCTACGCCGCGAGAGCGGTAAGAACTTAGTATTGATTAGCTAGGCTCAATTAAATTAAATTCATGTAATTAAGTCTGATCTGCCAGAAATCTGATTATCCCGGAATCAATCCTTGTTCCCTTCGTCGTTAATTAAGAATAATCCAAATCTTTACTTTTATTCGCTCATTCGCATTAGTTTAATTTCAATTCAACCAATCAATCTCGCACGACGCATTTTTTTAATTTTATTTCTTTTTAATCGCTGAATTTAGTTAATCTTTAATTCCCTTTTGTCCGTCCCTGTGGAGACGATACTCGTACTTTCACCACTATTCTACAATCTTTTTAAGTGCGAGAAAACTCACATCACACATCTTTTTCAAGTAACCGGGTGAGAGGTTTTGCGATTTTAGAGAAATTCTTTATAAAACGATTATAAAAGTCTGCATGTCCCAAGAAACTGTGGATGGCTTTTACCGTGGTTGGTGGAGGAAGTTTCTCTATCGTTTCAATTTTCGCATGGTCAACCTCGACCCCGTTACTTGACACTTTGTGTCCAAGTACTATACCCTCTTTCACAAGTAAGTGACATTTTTCCCAACTTAAGGCTAAGTGGGTTTCCTTGCAGCGGATAAATACTTTTTCCAGATTTTCAAGGCATTTTTTCAAAGGATTCCCCAAAAATAGAGAAATCATCCATGAATACCTCCATGAAGTGGCCAATGTATTTTTCAAATATGGCAATCATGAACCTCATGAAGGTGGCAGGGGCATTACAGAGACCAAAAGACATCCTACGAAAAGCAAAGGTCCCAAAAGGGCATGTGAACGTAGTTTTGTCTTGGTCTTCCGGGTTGACATGGATTTGGAAGTATCCACTCATGCCATCAAGGAAACAATAATGACTATGACCTCCCAACCTCTCTATTAACTGATCGATGAAGGGGAGGGGAAAATGGTCCTTCCGGGTGGCTTCATTCAGTTTGCGGTAATCAATTATCATTCGCCACCCGGTAACAGTTCGACTGGGCAGAAGTTTGCCCTTTTCATTTTTCGTGACAGTCATTCCCCCATTTATGGGGACAACATGAATCGGGCTTACCCACTGGCTATCAGAGATGGGGTAAATGGTATCCGCATCCAGCAGTTTAACAATTTCAGCACACACTACTTCCATCATGTTTGGGTTCAAACGTCATTATGGTTGGACGACAGGTTTAAACCCTTACTCGATCTTGATGGTGTGGGTACAAAAGGTGGGAATTATTCCATTGATGCCCTCAAGTATCCAAGCAATTGCTTGCTTGTGTGTCTTAAGGACTCTAAGTAATTTGTCCCTTTGTTCCTCACATAAGTGTGTGGCGATGACGATAGGGTATTTCCCTTTGTCATCCAAGAATGCATATTCTAAATGGTCAAGGAGTTTCTTTAGTTCGAGGGGGCGGTCATTTCTTAAGTTTTGTTCATTTTTCTCCCCCCCCCCCCCCCCCCCCCCCGAACTCAGTCAATACTTCATGAGAAGCTTGCTCAATTAGTGCATCCTCACAACTCTCACATGCATCACTCATGTCATTGTCGGCTTCTTTTAACAAACATGCATCATCACTTACATATCCATTCTCTTCCCCAAACAGATCGATACCCTTCAATTGATTCGAAAGTATCAAGAAAATGACATCCTTGAAAGGAATATGTGGGGTGTTTCATAATATCTGAGAGTCGGAAGGTGCATAAATCATCTCCAACTTTCAGAGTTAGTGAGCCATCAGTGACATCAATCAAGTCCCTGGCGGTAGCTAGAAAGGACGTTCCCAGAATAAGAGATGTTTCCCTATCCTCTTCCATGTCCATTACAACAAAGTCGACTGGGAAAATGAAATTGTCAACCTTGACCAAGACGTCTTCAACAATTCCTTTCAGATATTTGACTGAGCGATCAACCAGTTGAAGACACATCCTGGTGGGGTTCATTTCCCCAAGTCCTAGCTTCTCGACTATAGAGGAAGGCATCAGGTTGATACTCGCCCCTAAGTCAGCTAGAGCATTATCAAAATTGAAATTGTCAATTGAACAAGGGATAGTGAAGCTACCTGGATCCTTTAGCTTTTCGGGTATTGACCTTAGAACCACCGCTGAGCATTCTGCATTTAGGTCCACGACTGAGAGCTCCTGCAGCTGCCTCTTGTTTGTCAGCAAGTCTTTGAAGAACTTGGCATATTTGGGCATCTCCGCCAAGACATCCATCAACGGCAGGTGGACGTGGAGTTGTTTGAGTAGGTCCAGGAATTTGTTGTATTTCCTGCTATCGTCATCATTTCTAACCCGTGACGGAAATGGGAGAAAAGGTTTGACAATAGTGACCTTTGCGTTAGGGCGTGTTGGCTCCATGCTCTTCTCAGTTGGAGCATCGGTATGTTTCTCAGGTGTCATGGTTGGTGTCCCCTCTTCTTCGTTGTTCTTCTGCTTGATCGCGGCTGTTTGTCTCCCATTTCGGAGAGTGATAGCTTGCACATGTTCACGGGGGTTTGGTTCTGTAGTGCTAGGCAAGTTGGCAGGATGACGACCAGGAACATTATTCTGAGTAATTTGAATCATCAGAGTTTTGATCTGATTGTCAGTGCTAGCCTTATATTTTGCCATCTCCTCCTGTGTCCTTGCTAGTTCAGCTACCAGCAAGCCTATCTCCGAGGTTTGGGACGCCTCTGTTTGTCGTATATGTGGAGGCACATAAACCTGATTATTCTGGGTTGATTGGTTTAGTGCCCTCCCTGGTTCCGTCCTTGGAAGTTGTGCCCTTGATTGTTGTTGGTTGGGTAGTTCTGGTTACCTTGGTAACCGCCGCGAGGAGGACCATTGTTGTAACCCCCCGCCATTGGTTACCCTGGTAATTTCTCCCTTGGTAATTTTGGGGAGGGTAATTTGTGTTACCCCCCTGTTGCCTTGATTTGCCCATGGTCCTTCTTGTTTCATTCGGCCATATTCCAGCATGTTTACCTCCCTGTTATTACTTAGATTACAATCATCAACTATTTGACATGAATTGGTCAAATGTGGACCAAAACATATCTCACATAAGAGTACAAGTTCAGTTGAATTAGAAACAGGTGAATAAACATTAAATTGTGACAACTGTGGGGCAGAGTTTGAGTTCCCGAAGTGTCGGGATGATTGCTGATTCGGGGCAGCGCCAACGTGATTGACCTGGTTGGTGTGATTGTTTTCGCCCTTCAGATTCTTCACTTCCACCACTAACCCTTCAATCTTCGCGGTTTAAAGTCGTGAGTTGGTCAACTTCAAGATAGCCTGGTTTTGTGATCATTGGAGTTCTTTCATCGTACCAGTATCTTGCGTTGGAAGTGACCTTCTCCACCAGAGCTTCATTAGCGTCGGGCACCATATCAAAGAATGATCCCACCTGAGAAGAGAAATCAAGCCCTTTTTTGCTTCCAACTTGAAACCCCATTATAGAAATAGAACATCAAGCTTCTAGGGTCCACTAGTGTGAGTGGACACTTGTTTCTCATATCCTTGAAACGCTCCCATGCCTCATTTAATGATTCCGTCGGGAATTGCCTAAAATTTTGGATTGTTGTTTTAATTTTAGCAACCGCCGATGGAGGAAAGTACTCTTGCATGAACGCCTGGTGTAGTGCTGCCCATGTTGTGAAATGACCCGTTGGAAAGCTATCCAACCATAAAGATGCCTTATCTCGAAGTGAGAAAGGAAATAGGGTCAATTTTACGGCGTCAGGAGTCACTCCGTTGAAGCGGAATGTTTGGCATGCTCGGGTGAACCACAACATGTGGGCCCTGAGATTGTCTTGCTTGGACCCGCCAAATTGATGATTAGACATCATGTTGATAATGGCGGGTTTTATCTCGAAGTTGGCTGCCTCGATTGTTGGTGCGCTTATGCTATCATCCTCGATGAAGCTTGGCGTGAGGTTTTGCAACACCGTCTTTTGGTCCGTCATGATTGGTTTCTTGTGGATTAAAAGATTTTTCCACAAAGTTCGTTTAGGTTCACGATTAAGTTCAAGTAACTCTTCCACTCCTTTAGAGCGAGTGTGCATTCACTTATCCTGAAATCTTTATACAAATGTCGCAAGTGCGAAAAAGTCTCCCTAACTAGAATTCACCCTTGCTAGAACTAGACCAAAAATGACCGTGTCATTCCCCGGCAACGGCGCCATTTGATGACCGCTTTCACGGCATTGTAGTAAAACGGAGTCTAACCTTTCGGTTTTTCCCCGAGTATCGTGTCTCTTGAGGAATGACGGATGACTTTTCTTAATTTAGTCTCAGTCACGGGCTATCGCTAATCGTTGGAATCTTTTTCAATACAAAAGGGTGTGATTGTGTTCTAAACTAGGTCAATTTGCAAAATTTATAACTAGGAGCGAATTTCAACTAAAGATGAAGGCTTAAGATCAAATATTCCAAAGATTAATGAAAATATTGAGGCAAATAAGGGCAATGAATTGAGTAATTAGAAATGGATATATTCTTGGACCTAGTAATTAGGGGAATTAAAGCTAAAATTAGACTAATAATTTCTTTTCTCATAGACAAGAATAGAAATTACTTTCATTAATTTATCCTATTTCCAGGTTTCATTAATGTATTAAAAAATGGTTGGCTTGAATTAAATTCTAATCTCATTGACAAGATAGAAATAATTCTCCAATATTTTAATTAATAAAAATAGCCAAATTCATTAACTAATTAAAATCATTATTTAAGCAAATTGAAATCATTTCTCATAGATAAGATGTAAATCCTTTTCATTAAAATTTCCTATTTCTAGACCTTATTAATGTGTTTGAATATGGCTGGCTCAAATTATTTTCTAATCTCATAGACAAGTTAGAAATAATTTTCCAAAATTCAATTAATGAAAATGGTTAACAATTACTAACTTCGTCCTATAAAATTCTTTCCACTTTGACTTGGCACAGAGATTAAGAAAGTGGAATAAAGTGGAAATGTATGGTTGTGGTTGTGTAAGAAAAACGTGAAATGAATGTGAACCACACAAATTGTCCAAAAATGGTAAGTGAGAAGAATTTTTTGGGACAACCTAAAAATGAAAGTGAGAAGAACTTTATGGGATAGATGGAGTATTAATTACTATTTCATCAATTTAAATAACTAGTCCAATTAGTTAATTTTAACCACTAATTTTCGGCTAACAAGTCAATCCATATTCCTTTAGTCAATTCATGTCCAAAACAATTTTAGCTACTAAACATTATTTTTGCATTCAACAATATAGTAGGTAAATTAAACATTAACAAGGAATTAAACATGTATAATAGCAAAAATTAAACAAAAATTAAATTCTGGCAAAATAAACTTGTAGGAACTAAAATATAACTTTCTGGAATTTTTCACGAATTATTAGATCTAAAATCCAATTTTAATAACTAATTGATAATTTTCCCAATTTTAACTATAAAATGCAAAAGGCAACTAAAAATACTTTAAATTCGTAATAAATTTTATATTGACTACTGGGAGTGATATTACAGTGGAATAAACTGGAATTAGGACCGTATTTTTTTTAACTAATTAATTTAATTTATGCAATAATAACAACTAATTACCGAAATCAATTAAAAATTACTTGTGCTTCATGAAAATTAACTTTCTTCAGATAAATAACAACCTCGAGGCTAGTAAACAACTATATAATTAATTGGAATGAATTCAACTTCAACACCTATTTTATTTAATTTTTGGAAGAAAATGCGAAATACTTGATAAATATTCTGGAAAAATTCGAAGAACAGATCGAGATAACAAAGCACAAATTCAGATTCTACTGGTTGAGAAGATGAAAATACATACTCCCTCCGTTCTTAAATATGAGTCCTCTTAGGCTTTGGCGCGAGTTTTAAGAGGAAGATAATATGGGCAGTGTAAAAGGTGTAGTGGGTTGTGCGTAAATGAAAAAGTAGGAAAGAGAAAGGGGTAATGGTAATAAAGTGGGGGTATAAAGGTATTTTGATTGAAAAAACTTACCAAAAAGGGAAAGAGGGACAAAAACTAAAAAACGTCCCAAAAAGGAATGCGAGAAAGTTAATAAAGAACAGAGGGAGTATAAAGAACTTACAATTTGAAACTAAAATGAAAAAGATATGAAGATTTGAAGTTTCTCTCTCTTTCACCCCTTTGGAGCTGTGGAAATGGAAGAAGAAAGAAGGGTTTTCGAACTGATTTAGAGTTAGAAGTGGAGTGTCTGAGTTCAGCAAAAATCGGGCTATTTATAGCAGAAAATTTCCCGTAGGCGGTCTGGAGGGCGCCCGCCTTTCGGCTTGAACCGGCCGCCTGCCGTCTTTTAACCAGCAGCTTCACTTCGCCGCAGGTGGTCGCGGAAGGCGGCTGCCTTCCATTTCTGTCTGGCCGCCTACCGTCTTTTTCGCACCGACGGTCGTTGGCTTCGTCGTCTTGTGCCGTAGGCGGTCACCGAGGGCGGGCGCCCTTCGTTGGGTGTCGGCAGCCTTCGGTCTTTTCTGATCCCGGTCAAAAGTTGTAACGTTGACTTTCCAAAAATACCATAGGCGGCCTGGTGGGCGGTCAGATTTGGCCGCCTGTGTGACCGCCTTTGAGCTTTTTCGACCGGCTTGTTCTTTATTTTCTGCTCTTCAAATTTTCCTTCTGGACCACTTTGATATTTTGTTTTCTTCTTTAGATATGGATTTATTTGTTACTCAAATTGACTCATTTTAAGCTCAATCGGCCCGAATTTTCAGCAAACATATTATGAATGCAATTTTTATCTGAATTGATGAAACTTGAACCAAAATATCCAAAACGTGCCTTGTTTTTCTATTTTCTATACAAAAATCACTTAATTTTGATAAGAAAAATAAATATAAAAATGGACTTATCAATAATAATATTGAGTTCATATTTACCAATATCTTCCCACGATTACAATAATGAATTGTATTAGTGAAAAAACATAAAACTCATACTCCCTCGGTCCTTAATTAACTTTACACTTTCCTTTTTGGACGTCTCATATTAAATTTTACACTTCCTTATTTGTCTTATTTGACAAACAATTCTACACCAAACAGTGCCAAACAGTGTACTCTACAGTAAAGTCAAATTTATTTCATTAATATGTGTGAAGTCAAAGTGTAAATTTCATGAAGGGCCGGAGGGAGTATTTTAGAACACCACATGATTTTGTGTTTTGTTTTGGACAATTTATGTTAATTTTACATTTTGCAATTTGGGGGACATAATGGACTTTGCGTACGAACAACGAAGTCGCCTAAAAAAGAGCTGGGATTCGGCAAAATGACTTAGCGGTGTCGACACCCACTTCCTCATTCTCCTGCGAAGACAATCCCCTGTTTCAAAGTATTACACATTCCTTGTGAAAAAATGTCGACATTCCAGTTTCTCTCTCCCTCTCCTTTCTCTTTCAATCCAGACGTTACCGGCAATCTGGGCGCCGCTCTGCGCATGATAAAAGTCTTCCTACGTTTCCTCTCAATTCTATTCTATTCTTCTCGCTATCATTGCACAGAGATTCGTAGCGCAGAAGGATAGGACATCTATATTTAAATACCCATACCTTTCTGATCTTTTATCATGTCATTCGTAGAGGTTCGATCTTCAATACCCATTTTATTCCTTCCTTCCTTCTTTCTCTGGACCTGTGATCGTTATTGGTTTTGTATGTAATGGTTATTAAACTGTCTCTCTGTTATGTGTTTTAGGGCCTTCTCCCGTTTTGCATGGATCGAATTAGAGAGAAGACGGGTATCTTCACAGGTAAACCCCCATGCTCAGAATTTTCGGTTACTCATCAAGATTGAACTTTGAATTCTAGGTTTTTTGTCTGATGGGGAATCTTTCTTCAAAGATTATGTGGGTTGCTTTGTTAGAGTTACAATTTGCTCATATTATAGTGGTCTTAAGTACGGTTACCTAGTTGTTTAAGTTTAATCTCTGTATAACTTTGAAGATTTTATAAAGCCGTTCTGAATTTGGAATTTTGTACCCCGTGTGCTCTTTGGTACATGTCAATATCTCATTGTTAGTTTTTTCTTTATTATCTTAACTAACATTTCCTTTTTCTAACTGCTCCGTATTATTTGTATTTGGGTTTGTGAGGTATTCCCTCTCACAAGTCACAACTATATAAAAAAAAACAAATTTATTTGCTATAGTTTGTTTTATTGTTTTAGAAACTTGGGGTATTTTTTGAAGAGAGAATTCCCTAAATAGGAGTAAAAAAGTTTTGAAATTCCAAAATAGGAGTATCATGTTTTTTATTCCTTGAATATGAGTAAATTTCTGCCATGTTTGGCATTACTAGGCTTTAAAACATGGCATTTTTTTCCAAACTTGGCAGATTACTCCTATTCAGGGAATAAAAAACATGATACTCCTATTTTGGAATTTCAAAACGTTTTTGCTCCTATTTAGAGCGATTTCTATATTTTGAACATGGAAAATGCTAGGGAATTGAACATTTTGTGAAGGTGAGTTAATTTCTTATGTTTTGGTATATCTGTACAAAATAAAAAAAAGTATTTGAATTTCTTTACTCTTTAGATAAAATAGTTGAATAGACAGAATGAGTTTGTACAAATGTCTAAAATAAATTTATCGAGTTGAACCTATATTTTGTTTTGCCCCAAATTTTATTTCCTTCACATTTTCCTGCAAAAAAATCACCCTGTTTTCTTTACTTAGTATTTCTGAGTTCTGAAGGACCCTTTTGCAATTCAATATGGCGGGAAGAATCGATCGATGAAGTTTGGCTATGGATGAAAGTGAGATAGGGATTTCTTCAATACTTTATTTTGTCAATACTTACTTACTCCCTCCGTCCCTAAATAAACATCCTACTTTCTTTTTCGGGCCGTCCATAAAAAAAGTCACCTTTCCTTATTTGGTAAACAAAACAGCGCAAACGGTGTCAAATAGTGACGAACAGTGCCAAACAGTGTCAGCGTCATTTTCTTAAATTGTGTGTAAAACAAAGTGACACTTTTAAATAGGGAAGGAGGGAGTATATGGTTAAGCAACTAAGCGTGTTTTGGAACAAGGTTGAAAGCTTCTTTGGAACCTGCATACATTTCCATTTACATAATAATGAAGAAGATGAAATTTCCTTCTATGATCAATGATCAATGTGTGTGGCATCTATGCTTGAGCATCTACCCCTCTTCCCTACCTACAATAAAAGCATAAAATTTGCTTGACATATTGAAACTCTTGGAGTTAAACATATAGCAGTTTTATATGCATTCACCCCCCCTCCCCAATAAATCAAATCATCAGAAGAAAATAAAATGCTAACACTCTTCAGTTTGGTTGTTCCAACCAGTCTCTTTTTTGCAGAGAGTTTCTCAATCAATGTCCAATGTCAGCTGCGATAGTTCTGGCAGAGAGTCAGAGAACTGCCAAGACAGTGGGTCCGCTTTCGTCCTGAAAATGGTTGCAATCGCTTCTATCCTTCTTGCTGGTGCATTTGGAGTTTCACTCCCATTAATCGGCAAGAAGCGGCGGTTCCTCCAAACGGACTCTAATCTCTTTGTTGCAGCCAAAGCCTTTGCAGCCGGCGTCATCCTTGCCACTGGTTTTGTCCACATGTTACCTGACGCAAGCGAACATCTGACTGACACCTGTCTACCTGATTTCCCTTGGTCAAAGTTCCCGTTCTCGGGATTCATCGCGATGATGTCAGCACTTGCAACATTGGTTGTGGACTTTGTTGGGACGCAATATTACGAAAGGAAGCAAGAAAAACAAAGTCAAAAGGAAAATATTGAATCACTGGAGGCTGCGATGGTGGGGTCAGAGTCTGCAATTGTTCCGGTGGACACAAAAGGGAGGAACGGAGTGTTGTTTGGGGAAGAAGAAGGAGGCACGATTCACATTGTTGGAATGCATGCACACGCCGCTCATCATAGGCATAACCATTCTCAAGAAGTGGGAGCATGTCAAGGCCATGCCAAGGAGCATTTACATGGCCATTCACATTCTCACTCACATGGTGGTCATGGGGATGATGAAAACGGAGTGAGACATGTAGTTGTTTCACAGGTGATTCCATTCCCACATAGTAGTTATATATTCTCTAGTTAGACAATAGACATAGTAGTTAATTTTGTTGGTACACTTTCATTTTTTCTGTCCCAGAATTATGAGATCATGATAGTTTCCTAACTTTGGATCCACTAACTTTTAATTTCCATTTTATCTTTAGATGTCATTTCACTCTTTTTTGAACTGATACTATTTTTTCTTCTTTTTAGAAGGTTACGATGGTAAAATTACAACCACTTCCTTTATTTTCTCAAAACTTTTCCTCGCTCAATATATCTTATATTTTGGGAGAGAGAGTATGTCTGTGCTTCTCCTGTGCTTAAGGACATGTTCTCTTTGCCTAGTAAAAGGTTCAATTTAGGTCGTATCTTTCAAGATCTCAGTTTGGATCTTTCTGATCTGAATAGTTCTTGTGAGTATAAACCTTTCTAGTTTGGTCAAATGCATTTGTTTTGTCCAACTTTCAAGTATAACATCTAGTTTCAGATGTTATGATTTCCTTTAAATCTTTCTGGTAGAGATCTTTTTGTGATCTCATTAAACATAGAGAAGAATTGAGTAATAAATAATTAAGACGCAGAATGCCGCTGAGCTTTACTTGATTTTAGTGGATGATAGTTTATTCTATGTATTTCTTGATTTTCTTGTTTTACTCTAATTTTTCTAATACAATCTATCCCTCACAGATTTTATGTTTTCTCTGAATGCAGGTTTTGGAACTCGGAATTGTATCCCACTCGATGATTATTGGTCTCTCTCTTGGAGTTTCCGAAAGTCCATGCACAATCAGGCCCTTAATTGCGGCACTATCATTCCATCAGTTCTTTGAAGGGTTTGCTCTTGGAGGTTGCATATCCCAGGCCCAATTTAGGACTCTACGCGTCACTCTGATGGCCACATTCTTTGCCATAACGACCCCCTTGGGGATTGCTGGAGGGCTTCTTCTTTCTTCATTCTACAATCCTCAAAGCCCAAGGGCAATGGTGGTGGAAGGCATCTTTGACTCTGTCTCTGCGGGAATCCTAGTGTACATGGCTTTGGTAGACTTGATCGCTGCCGATTTCTTGAGCAAGAAGATGAGCTGCAATACCAGGCTTCAGATCGCCTCCTATTTTTGCCTGTTTTTAGGATCTTTACTAATGTCATCCCTGGCTATATGGGCCTGAATGTATCTTTATTTGTTACTCCCTATGTGTGCATGTAATCTAGCTTTATCATATATATGTGCACACACCATCCTTGTGTTAATGACATGAAATCCAACAATTGTATATTATATTTCCTTCTAAAATTTGTGAGGATTATCGTTATGTTGTTTGTTAAGCTTATGTTGGGTTTCAGGCCTTGAGGGGGGTGGGGTTGGAAAGCAATGCAAAATATTTGTTCCTTCTTGCTCTAAGTATTTGTTAATCGTTATTCATCAGTCAAGAAATTCTTTAATCGTTATTCGTTGATCGTTATGGATGGACTCGGGCCGGGTGGCCTGACTCGGAACCAGCTTATGACCGACACTGTTCCGGCCTGGCCTGACCCGGTGGCCCGGTCAGTGACCGGTCCGGGTAGGCCTGACTTGTGGGTTTTCTGGTCCGGGCTCGGGTCACCCAAAACAAGGCTTGACCCGGCTGGGCCTAGGCCCGGTTCGGGCCAAAACTATTTTTTTTTCCATTTTTTTTTTAAATTTTCGGTTTGGATTGGGTATTTTGGGCCATTTGGGGTGGTTTGGGGGGTGGGGGGGTGGGAGGGGGGCTAATTAGGAAGAGGGGAAAAAAAATTGATAATGGGCTCGGCCCGGACCCGGTGGTTACCCGAGCCGGTCCCGGGTCCACCACTCCTGAACCGCCGGCCCGCCCGGGCCTAGGCCCGACCCGGACCCGGCCCGGACCCGACTCCATCCCTATTGATCGTTATTTACCGGTCAAGAAATTCTTGATCGGATTTTTTTTTTATCGACCGAAATGTGTGTGTTGTAATCACTATGAATAAAATGTCACATTTTTGTTGGAGTATCTTTATTCTAATCAATAATCAAACAGACCATTCAAAAGAAAAATATAATCAAACAGTGGTTGCTAGTTCCTTCTAAATATTCTAAGATAAATTTAACATGTGCATGTTACTTATTCCCGCAAGATACTTAGATCGTTGTAAGAGTTGAAGTTTGAGATGTATGTATGTCTGACTGATGATGAAGTTAATCCATCTTTATGAATACTCAGTTTTTTTAGCAAATAAAATTTACATATTCAGAAATTACATTAAAAGTTTTGTAGAATCAAAAAAGAAATTCAAATTGGATAAATGTTGGATATATAAAATAAAAGATAAAAAACTACTGCATATTTGAGTTGAGTACAGAATACTAAGGATGTTTTTATTTGGATTGAAATTTTCGGTTCTGATATGGTCTGAAGTGGTCTGATCTGGTCTGAAATTTTCGATATCATATTATATTATATGATGTGGTATCGCATCACATCACATCGTTAAGTAGTTAGGCAAGTGTATCATTTCGAGTTTTAGCAAAGATATTATTAACTTTAGGAAGATAATGAATGAGATTCAAAGATCAATACAATTACCACAGACTACATTTATCAATGGTAATTTCAGATTTTCAGACATTATGAATATTGAAATTAGTGAAACACTTTAATCAGTTTAGCAGGATATATGTGTATCGGCAAGTTATGTGTTTTTGCGTCGGAGTCATTTCTTCATATTAAAACACTTTATCTAACTCTTAGATAAATAACAAACTAATTTTTAATATGAGCCCCAATATAATAATAACAACAATGTAAAGAAGCTTCGAACCACAATATCCAATTTATGATAAAATTTTAATTTATTATTGTTTCAGTTAAATGACTAAATAAAAATCTTAAATCAGTGAACTCTACAGTTTCAGTAATGTAGCTTAATAAAAATCTTTCTACATTCAGAACGCCATTAGGACGCACTTCACTAATGAAGCAAGGTGTGATAGGTGGGAATATGGGTGCTAATTAAGCAAGTTGACTAATAAGATACTCGGTGTACCTAGCTTGACTAGGTTTAAATTTGACTCGAACCAAGCCAAATCAAGATCAAATTATATACAGACTCGACTAAAAAAAATTGCAAGCTACTCGATTATGAGTTAATATCGATTTTATTAACACATAACATGACATTACATAATATATCCAAAGTATATAAAAAATTGTACAAATATATACGAGAGATTCACATGTTGCACAATGTTTAGGTAATATTTTAAGAGCGTGATGGGGACTTTACGTATTATCAGGTGACATTCAAGAAGATTTAAGAAGAACTAGCCGTACTTGATTCATCTTAGATTTAAATAAATTATAAGATGTGTGTCTATATGTGATAACGGATCAAACTCACTTTATAAAAATACATCATTTTAGAATAGACAAACCTCAGACACAACTCGAACTTGATCTTAAGTTTTATTTTTTCTAACTCGAATTTGACTTTTCTTTATCAAACCTTCTCCATTATTCAAACTCACCTCGCTTGACTACACCTAGATCAGGGTCCCTAAAATTAGCCTTAAAATATTTGATTTTAGAAATAACATACACATTTAGAGTTCCTTTGATAACACTAAATTAAAAATCAATTGAATCAGATGAACCTATCGAAATTGATGAAAGGAGCTCTTATTTGTATTTATTTAGAATTGGCTAAAGGGTCAAATAGGTCATTGTACCGGTCGTATAAGCTTAATCCAATCTCTGAACTAAAAAATTGTCCAATTCACACCTCGAACCGGCAAAAAACGGTTCAAATTTCATTTTTTTACAAGTAACCAACCGGTCACCCGCCACGTCACCGGCCTGATTGCCACATGTGCATCTGAAGTTAAAACTAAAAGCTCAAATAAGCCCCTGAACCCATCTCATTTGATCAAATCATCCCCTAAACTATTAAAAGGTGTCAAAATTGTAATAAATTAAAAACAAAAAATAGAAAAAATTTAAAAAATTAAAAAAAAAATTAATATAAAAATTAAAAAAAAAATGAAACTTAAGTTTAATTTTAGACTTTAAGTTCATACTTTAAATCTATGTTTTTATATCAATATTTTATTTAAGAATTCATTTTTTATTTTAATGTTTTATTTTATATTATTATATTTTATTAATATGAAAATAACGACATTCTTATTTGAGAGTATTTGCTATGCTTTATTCCTACTATAGGATTTTTTCTTTAGAGTTTTAGATTTGTCCTTACATTTATATTTCATATTTCACTAGATTTTTAAGATCTTTTCCTATTTATTTTATTTTGTATTAGATAGATAAAAAATCATTTTTATGCTTTAAGTTATACATAGTACAAAATATTTCCGGATTGAACATTTACATTTTTTATTCTATAACTTTTTTGAAGTACTATAAATTCCTATTTTATATTTCATATGTTTTAATTCAAAACCTACGAAATGATAAAAATATAACAACATTAAACAAAACATTAATATATTACTAGTAATAAAATCTTAAATAAAATATTGATGTAAGAACATATATATAAAGTATGAATACAAAGTCCAAAGTTAAACTTAATTTTCATATTCATATATTTTTTAATTTTTTTAATTTTTCTATCTTTTTTTTTAATTTATAACAATTTTAACACTGTTTAATAATTTAGGGGGTGATTTGATCAACTGTGACAGGTTCAGGGTAGTGCTGTTCAAGAAATCGAGCCTGGCTCGAACTCGACTTGACTCGGCTCGATTAAGCTCGGACTCGACTCGTATATTCGAGAAAACGAGTCGAGCTCGAACTCATTGTTTTACTCGATAAGGTTAACGAGCCGAGCTGGCTCGACTCAAAAAACCCGGTGAAGCTCGTGATAGGGCTCATGAGGTGAGCAAATTTGTCATTTTATAGCATATTAGCTTTAGCCGTATAGAAGATTAGACCCACTTTAACGAGTTGTCGAGCTCGAGTAGCTTGACTCGGGTATATTAACGTGTCGAGCTCGAGCCGGAAATTAGTTTAACGAGCCGAGTTCGAGCTCAGATATAGAATCAAATTTTAACGAGCCGAGCTCGAGCCAGGCTCGAAAAATGAGCGAGTCGAGTTCAAATTTGTGATACTCGGGCTCGACTCGGCTCGAATAACAATGCTAGTTCAGGGGCTTATTTGGGCTTTAAGTTTCAACTTCATATGCACATGTATCAATCAGACCAATGATGTGGCGGGTGATCGTTTGGTTACCAGTTCGTATATGCTACACCCAGATGTATGTACATCCGTCCAATTAAAATAGAAGTCCATTAATAGATAAAGCCCACAACACACCTGGCCCATTTTTTTACCGGATATAACACTGATAACTCAAAACAATGAATATGTTCGCAAAACGACGCAAGCATTCATAACGCCGTATTTTAGCTCGAAAAACGAGGACAACCTCTAGACGTTTGTCAACTTCGTGGAGTTGGAGAGCAACAACAACTTGAAGAATAGAGGAAGAGTTTGAGCAGCAAGTTGTTTGTGTTTGATCATTGAATCAAGCGATGGACTTAGTATCCGAGTATGAAATGATGTCAAACGCAGATAAGCATGAAAATGCAGAAGCATCAGAGAGGTATGTCATATTATACTGTTGAAATTTATATTTTAGTAATGATTAGTCAATATACTTGCATGTTTCCAAAATTATAGAAAAATTGAAATGATTTTGACAAATCTGAAGCACATTATGAATTTAAAGTGTGATGTGTTGATTGAGTAAATCAATTCAGGTTTTGTTTAATGTAAGAAGGTTAATGCTCGTTTTACTTTAATTTAAGTAATGTATATTAATAACTACTTACAATATGGTGATATTGTAATTAGGTACTTGTAAAATGATAGAATACTGAATCTGTGGTATGTAGTACTCATCTCTGAATAGAGTGGTATCTGGTTTAACTTTTCTATATTTATTGAAGATTATGTTATGATTCATAGTGTGAAACGAAAAATATTGTTTCAAATGAACAAATAGAACTATGTGTCATGAAGTGTTGTGCATTTTTTGTTTTACAAATTACTTGTTCTGTAATTCGGTTACATGAATATTGTGTGTATGCTCATAATGTGAATGCAACATGCTCAAATTATAAAACATTGTGTCATAATTTTGTAGTACTTTCAAATGAGCATATAGTGTTATGTGTTCCTCAAAAACTATGAAAATTTTGTCTTAGAATATGCTTGTTATAAACTACATTTACATAATAATTGTTTGTATGTTCATGATGTAAGTAAAATATGGTGATAGTGTGCTGGTAAAATTGAAACAGAATGCTCATTTTTTAAAATGATAGAATACTCAATCTGTGGTATGCAGTACTCATCTTTGAATAGAGTGGTGTGTGGTTTAACT